CACCTTGTGCACCTGCCTTTTGTCATGCATAGGTCTTGGCTTTTCTCACCCTTTAGGAAGGTTTAGGAAAAGAAAATAGAAAAAAGCCCCAAGCTACCAGCACTACCAAAAAAAAAAAAAAAAAAAAAAAAAAAAAAAAAAAAAAAAAAAAAAAAAAAAAAAAAAAAAAAAAAAATCAGATTAGGGATGCTCAGTGGGCCATTTCTAAAGGAACTGCCTGTGAAATGCCTTACTTGCCATACCTGACAGTGCCTACACAATTGCAAAAAGTTGAAAGCCTCCCCTCAAAAAACAGTTTGGAACAAAACGTGGACATCTGCCTCAAAAGAGCCAGGCACAGTGTCTCTGCAGTAGCGAGGGTGGAAGCTGCCAGAAGGGGATCGCTGATCATCATGGATATTGTCATGGAAAGGTGGTGTCCTGTGGGGAGCATTCACTCGAGGATCTACCTTATGGCAGTGGTGTACGATCACAGAGGTTTCCCCTGTGACCTGCAGCACCTTTCCCTCCACATCCTTTCCCCTGTAGTTTACTAGGTTGGTTGTTTTGCTGCTGCATGTATTGGATGTACCAGACTTGCAGTAGAAGCAGCTCCTGTCAAATGCCACATTTCCCACTCTTTACATTTCCTCTTGGACTTGCCTGTTGGTTTACAGGGATTTACATACCCATCAGCACATACACAGCACTGCACAGTTCACACAGCATCACACAGGCTAAATGGGTATGGGGGTGTGTGTGTATAAAAATTTCCTACATCCCTAAGCTAATGAGTCAGAAAATCAAATGTTGGGGCATTTGTGTGTCATTATTGCTTACCTATTTTATCTGCTTAGCCTTATTAGCTAACTAGGCTCATTTAATCCTCAGCATTCACTAATCCCGATTAGAGATGGGCCCAAACTAGGCTCTGGGTCCCAATTAGGAGACAACAAGCTCTTAGTAACATGCTGCCTCCAGCAGTCACTACAGCTAATAATGGTGTGTGGGAATGCAGGAGCCCCCATGAAACAGCAAGGAAGTGCCACACCCACATCACCCTGTCCTCAAGCCCTACAGGCAACTGAGAAGCAGATCAGCATCTAAATGCATCATTTGCTTTGCAATGGTCTACATATACCTGAAGTGCTATACTATGCCCCTGAAAAAATGAGGGAGAGTTGTTTTTTGCATCTTTCTCTATCAAACCAACCATAATGGCCAGAAGAGCCCCTGACTATTAAAGCTCTTGCATCTCGTTGTCCTTTGCAGCTGCTTCTTGTCCCCTTGGCTCATTCTGAACCTGGCATGGTGACAAACATGCATACTGTAGCCACTATTCACACATCCTTATAGGAAGAAATTATGCCCAGATGAAAAAGTGAGCTTGTTCTGCAAGTCATGGTCACCTGGACAGGTCCTGGTACCTGTTTCTGACTTGGCTGTTAAAATGGGCTTCTTGTATCTGCTCTGCTTCTGCACCCACAGGAGAGGAACAGTGGCATGCAGAGAGCCTGCAGGTGCTTTGGCATGTCCCCGCGAACATCAGGTCCAAGAATCCATCATTGCTTTCATCAAAGCTTCATCAGGGTTGCACTGAGGAACCTGATCAGGACTTGCCTCCTTGTTGTTCTCGAAGACATGTCTTCCACTCAAGGCTCTACCTGGTCTCCATTTTCCCAAGTAGCAGGGAAGGGTTTTACCTTCTGCAGGGCTGGCACCATTGGAGAGACATGCTGCGTTCCCCTGCAGGGAGGCAATGGGCTCCTGGTAACCTCTGCAGGCAGGAGGCTCCACATGGGCCTCCTACAGACTTTTCCTAAGCCTGCTCTTCTATCCCTAGCCAGGCATCTCTGACTCTGCCAAGATGTGGATGCTTACGTTGCCAGCTCCTCTCACTGGAAGCTAATAGCTAGCTCCCTGAACAAAGAAAATCCTATTTGGCATCAAAAAGCCTAATTCTGGTCTCTCATCTTTTTCCCTGCTGGTGCAGTTCATCAGACTTTTTGCTGATTTATAGCTTGGATGAAAGAAGATTTTCAGACCCAAGGTCATTCTCCTGTCAGGTGTGGGTGTGGGCGTGTCCTCACTGTAACACAGAATGAAAGGCTTTATGAGCCAAGAATGTTCACAAAGGGAGGACACATGGAGCTCCTGGAGCAGGTCCAGCAGAGGGTAACAAGGATGATTAAGGGATAAGGATAGGCTGAAGCAGCCAGGCCTGTTCAGCCTTCAGAGGAGATAACTGATAGGGGACCTCATCAATGTCTATCAGTATCTGAAGGGAGGGTGTCAGGAGGAAGGATCCAGGCTCTTCTCAGTGGTGCCAAGCAATAGGACAAGAATCAACAGGCAGAAACTGATGCACAGGCAGTTTCGTCTGAATGTGAAGAAGAACTTTACTTTGCATATGACTGAGCACTGGAACAGATTGCCCGGAGAGGTTATGGAGCCTTCCTCACTGAAGATATTCAAGATCTGTCTGGACATACTCCTGTTCAGTGTGCTCTAGGATGACCCTGCTTGAGCAGGGAGGTTGGACCAGACGACCTACTGTGGTATCTTTCAATCTGACCTGTTCTGTGATTCTCTGAGTGCTCACATCCATATGCAATGCTGTGGGCAATGGTGGGCCAAGGACCTGGCTGCCTGGGGAATGAGGCTCCTTCTGGCAAGCCTCTTTGATAAATTGTTTGTAAAAGCCTGATGGGACCTTATGATGTTTTTCCCTTCTCTTCAATAGGACCATGAGAAAAGAAAATGATTGTAGTTTCCTTTGCTGTAGCAGAGCTTAAAGGGGAAATTAACTCGGGAGCTGATGCACTGCTCACTGAATTCAGTGGGGCTTTTTCTGCCAGCTTCAGTGGAAACTCTGGAACTGGCTCTCTGTCAAAGGTGACTTTGATTTCTGTGGTTGTGTGAGCCTTTCCTCCCATTTATCTGTGCGGAATAGCTTTGGGAGGCTTCAGAGCTCAGATGAAATATTTGCTGTAGCTGGTCCTCAGTTTATTTTCTTCCTTGCCTCATGACTGTTCCTCTTTTACAGTTGGCAGCTGTAATCATCGCTGGCCTCCTTCTGCTCTACATCCCACTGTGCTATGAGAATTTCCATTTCCACGTGGCTCATTTGTATGC